CCGGGCACCCCTCCGGACGTCCTCCTATCCGCCACCTGGAGACGCGCCCGATAGGTAGCCCAACCCACGGGAAATCTTTGTGATATTCGCACTGCTTTCTTTTACGAATCCTCTCAGGATCTTTTTCATACTGATCGCGCGCAATCCAAATGCCGCTCAACGCTTAGGATTGTACTGAGGCTCTCGTAGACGTAAGGGGCATTCATTCGGGGCGCTCGACACGTTGTAATCTTTATTCTATCTTTTTTTTTCGCTCATTACATACGAAACTAATAGCGAATTCGGTTGAACGTACTAGTGCATATTAGTGTACATTAAAGCCGTTATATACGCAGATTTAAAACGGAATTAAACCATGAAATCTACAATAGATGTTATTGTGCCGTTATGTAAAATCTGTATTTTATAATTTGAAATATTTGCATTTTACTTTTACAAGGATTAAATCTGCGTATAACGGCTTTAATGTACACTAATGTGCACTAGTACGTTCAACTGAATTCGCTATTAGTTTCGTATATAATGAGCGAAAAAAAAGATAGAATAATGATTACATCGTGTCGAGCGCCCCGAACGAATGTCCCTTACGTCTACGAGCGCCTTAGTACATTCCTAAGCGTCGAGCGGCATTTGGATTGCGCGCGGGGCGGTGCGGTGAGGGGAATAGCGGGAGGTGGAGCCGACTCGAAAATGTGCATTTCGTGCCGAGCCCTGTTATAATGCATTTCCAAAATTTATCACAATTCAACCGTGAGACATCTGAGCTGTGCAATGACACATATCGATCCACGTATGAAAGAAGATACTCTACTTTTGTTAGACGTGCTTGTACAAAATTGTAATAGTGCATTGGCTAAAGATAGTCATAAAATAAACTACAGGAAACTTTGTACAGGTACACGATCAATTATGCCTCCGTTTGCGAATCTTGACGAAGATATGATCTCCATAGATAATTGTGAGAAAGAAACCTTACCTATAGAATTTATTAATGCCACTAATGTCTGATTTGGTTGGTCGAGTATATCCAGATAAGAAAGTTGAGAGTTACACAGAGATTACAATTTTGAGGGAAACAGCTGCATTATTGAAAAATATTGTAATTATGGAATTGATTGTGGAATACATTGATACATTGGATCAGGATGATTATAGCGTCAAACGTATGAAACAATGGTACGTTTCATGATGCATATATGAAAAATTTATTGTCGAGGTTTCCTTGTGGTACAGTAAAGCATCTTACTAATGAATGGAATTTACCTAAAAATGTTTATAACAAAATTTGGACTTTGTCAAATTCACATATGGTTTACATCTCTGTTTAACTGCAACGAACAATTTCCCAAGTCTACAGGAGCTGGGTGGCACCCAGTTAGACACGGCTCAATTGGACACGAGCCACTCACAGCGCTTGAGACTACAAAGCTCCTAAGCACCGGTCGCTGTGATTGGTGGTGTCCAATCGAGCCGTGGTCAATCGGGATCACCCCGTAGGAGCTATTGCATTCTGAAGTATTATAAGTAATATTATTATCTAATTATTATTATGTATGAGGTCTTTTTTACGAAATTAATTTTCAGGTATTATTCAAAATTGATGCGACTCGCCGACTTTACCTCAACTGACCAAATTACTAAAAACTTTATTTTTGAAAGCTGGAGCAGTTTGGTATAACAACTGTATTAATTTGAATAATACTTTAAGACTGATTATTGAATCATCTTCTCGTTTGTGTAAGAAAGAATTGCAATTGCATTTGTATTTTTGGTGATATTATAGTGAACAGCTATTTAAATGAGTTGTACAGGTAAATGTTTTAAATAAAAAGTATAAACGGTGGATAATGTAATTTTTGTAGAGCACTCATTTATTTAGGAATATGTGAAATAAATATAATTAATGTAGTAGACAGTCGCTAATTATTATTTATTCCGTTTGACAGAGACAAAATATTTCAAAGCTTTGTTACGATCTTACCAAGTTTACTCCTGAAACCGAACATATGTATGGTTTACATCTCTGTTTAAGGGGATGCTGGAGTGGCCAAATTGTCGGTAATTTGCAGATTAATTTACATTTCCGAATTTACTTAACGAAATCAAAAATCCTTTTACAGGGTTAAAATAGATGCAAAATTCTGTCGTGGTGCAATAGATTAGTACTAAAATCGGAAAAAAAGTTAAAAACTTACATTTTTTCAACACGTAGAGCTGTCAACTGATGTAGATTACAAAAGTTTTATAGCTCTTATGGACCAAACGATACTCTACCACTCATCGCATAACGTACACAAACAATACTGAGTTTACAGAACTGAGATTGAAAGCTTAGAAAAAATATTTACATTAATTTATAAATCACATAAATTTACTTGTCAACGAAGACTCGGGCTGATAAATAGACCAGGAAATGTGTTTAATAGAAGTTGCTCGATTTTCTGGGAGATGGCGTTGTACTCAGACTAGGCCCCGCTGATCTGAGTGCGTTCGGAAAGAAACAATAGATCTGTTACGATGAACTTTCTGAACTAATTGCACCGTGTGCAATAATTCTGAGAATTGTTAGATAAAGAACAAACTATTGTCAAATTTAACAGTACTTGTACATGTTCTTATCTGATTCTGAACAAACATAAACTACGTTTACACGATTCGATTTATGCCGAAGTTATAACATCGATGTCATGAAACTGACCAATCGTAGCTATTACTCTGAAGAATGGAATGACTGTAATTGGCCAGTTTCATGTATCAATGTATACCTTCGGCGTACGACGCTCTACAACTAATCAGAAAACAGGATTCCGATGGATTTTGCTTCGTATAATCGGAATCCGGTTTTCTGATTGATTGCAGAGCGTCCTACGACATAAATTGGATGCAGTGTGAATCCAACATAACCGAGCCGTATAAATGTTGTTATAGAGAGAAATAGACCTCTGTTAAGGCCATTCTACATTGGTCGTATCGTAGCGTCGGAATCGTCGTAAGCGTCATACGACTTAAAAATTGAAGCATTAGATTGGCTGAAGCAACAAGCTTGTGACTTGCGACGTCTACGATACGACCAATGTAGAATGGCCTTTACACGGCATGCTTAATCGGGTTTAATAACATCCGTAGTTATGAAATTGCCCAATCATAGTTGTTCCTCTGAAGAATGGAACGATTGTGATTGGCTAGTTTCATAATTACGGATGTTATTAAACCCGATTAAGTATGCAGTGTAAATGTAGTTATAGACGGTATAAGAAGTTAGTTAAAAAGAATAGATGATATGTCACTTCGTTTTTGCCAATGATCAAAAGATTACAAAAAATCCTTGTTTAAAATATTCATGCGAAGTACGTACGTGCTGGGGATCGATTCTGTATCTTGAAACGAAGTGACAATTACAAAAGTGAGTGAATTTACTAGAATACTGATAATTTCATTGGCCAATACCTAGTAAATTTGCTCACTTTTGTAATTTTCACCTTGATTGAAGATACAGAATCGACCCCCTGATCACGTAAAGTGAATAAAAATCAATATGTATTCTAGTCACTCGTACAATCTGATCACGTTTGCTGCTCAATATTACTAATTAGATATTGGGTGCGTTCAGCGAATACAACGGTTGCACATCCTGATCATTGAGCGCTCATCGAGCATAAAGTGATCAGTGAACAGTTTCATGAGGTGCGTTCCGTATCGCGCATGATGCGCATGATGCATCCATTGTCCTTGTTTAACATTTAGTGAGCAACAAGGATAAACGACGCATTATGCGCATCATAATCATCGGAATCCTGTTTTCTGATTGGTTGACGAGAGTCGAAAATCGGATGCAGTGTGAATACAGCATAATACTGGAGATTCAGAAAACAGGATTCAGAAAACAGGCCAATCAGAATATAGGATTCCGATGATACGAAGCAAAATTCATCGGATCCTGTTTTCTGATTAGTTGCAAAGCGTCGTACGACACAAATCGGATGCATTGTGAATTTAGCATTAGGCCTTGTATACAGTGGCAGAAAAACCACAAACAAAATAATGATTCGATATAACCAATGACAAAGAGAATGGACTGCGTGATTCGTATCTAAGCAATGTATCAAACGTGGTCGACAATAATGAGAGAAAGGGACCATGGGATGCGGCCAATTTCCCTCTCATTTTCCCTCCCATTAAACCATTGACAGGAAAGAGATAGAAATGGCCGTTTGTGTTTTTATTGCTGCATTTTCCGAACTAGTACACAGTGCAATAAGTTGAAGTGAAATAAATATACGTTTGATTCACTTGAACTTAGTGCATTGGTTCAGAGTGCAGCAATAAAAAACCTATTGTTAGACAGAGAGACAGCGAGAGAGAGAGAGAGAGAGAGAGAGAGAGAGAGAGAGAGATGTGGACGGGGAAGGGATAATAGGAATGAGAGGAAGGAAAAAGACAGAACAAGTATATCAATGAATTTTGTTTCTATTGTTATTTATTTAATTTTTTTTAACTTTTTATTTTCCATTTTTTCTTAATATCCCGGAACGTATGCCGACGGGATGTATCCTGGTGTCGTCGCCGCCGAGATGTATCCTGGTGTAATCGGCGTCGGGATGTATCCTGGTGTCGTCGCCGCCGAGATGTATCCTGGTGTCATCGGCGTCGGGATGTATCCTGGTGTCGTCGGCGCCGGGATGTATCCTGGTGTCGTCGGCGCCGGGATGTATCCTGGTGTCGTCGGCGCCGGGATGTATCCTGATGTCGTCGCCGCCGGGATGCATCGTAGCGTCGGAAAGTATCCTGGTGTCGTCGGCGCCGGGATATATCTCGAAGATGAAGGGATGCCCGGATGGGCATTAAGCGGCGTATTTCCATCTCCGCCGCTCCTTCGTCACCGCCCTCCGCACCACTTGATTGATTTTCTGAAACAATATTTCAATATTATTTATTTAATGCCAAATAATGTTTATACACACACAGAGAAAGAGAGAGAAAGAGAGAGAGGGGAGAGAGGGGGGGGGAGAGAGAGAGAGAGAGAGAGAGAGAGAGTTCATATTACATATACGTATTGTATTTAGCATGTTTATATATGTGTCTATAGATATTATGTTTGATACATGCCAGTATGCATACATCTATCTATTCCGTGTATGTGTGTTTTGAATGACGATGTAGCTTAGAAGCTTAGAAGATTTTTTTTCAGTTATCAAAGAAATGATTAAACGAATGGAGAAGGTTAAAACATAGAAGAAGGATCGAATTCAAGCTACCGTCCACCTGATGCTACAAGTGCTTCGAAGCATTGTTTGATTAGTTAATAAAATTCTTTCTTCCTCTTCTTGGTCAATCAAAAGTTTTGAAGCATTTGTTGTAGCACCGTACCCTCAATCTCGTTACTGATCCTAGGTCGGTATTCATATTAGGTATGGGAATAAGTTTCCGCCCATTAGAGAAATGTCGTTAGTAGCACTGCTTGTGTGTTTGATAAAACGGCAATACATGTATTTGAAAGGTGTGTGTTCAAGCTTTTGAGCCCAGTAGTTGATATTCGTTCAAAGCGATTTGTTTGAACTAAGCTTTGAAACAAAAACAATAGGAATGGGACAATAGGCACAATAAGCTGATTCTGCTATGTGACAACGCTATGTCATACGTTGCAAAACCGGTCAAGAAATACTTGGAAGGAGTGAAGTGGGAAATTCTGCCCCACCCGCCGTATTCACCGGACATTGCTCCTTC